ATCATGATGCCCTTGAGATGTTTGGACCCATTTATTATTGTTTCCTCTATTTCTAGGGATTTTTGTCTGAGGCTGAAGAGATGGCTCACCGTACGAGCCTTTTGCTCCCCCAATACTCGCTTTGGGAGTGCCTCCAGGAAATCTCTGGAACACCGGACTAGATTCCCCAGAACCCTTAGGAGTTCCTGCAACCGGGGAATGTGGCTCGTTGGTCTGGGGTTGTACAGGAGGTGTTGGAGGAGGCCGAGTTATGTCCACACGCCTCGCAGGCGAGACTGGTGGTGTGGAAAGAAGATCTAAACGAGGCAGTTGACGACTACGGTTCTGTTAATTGAAAAAGGCATCGGAATCATGAAATTTAATACCCTATATTTGGCGAAACTATGCTTCTGCACGTATGATTAGTGGATTCATCAGGGCCCTGACATCGAAACTTACCCAGATATTGAGGAGCAACTATAATTTTGCCAAAAAGAATCATAATCTGAACATGTCATTATAAAATAAATCTAAAAGCTCCAAATACTCTTACCTGCCGAGTTTGTGACGTTTGGATTCCTTTCTAGATACGACTTGAGCTTAGTAGGTGCCAAAAATGCATCACCTATGATGATGACTGAGCTCTCTGAACTTATGGAACAGTTGGAACTAGCACTGCGTGGTGAAGTCACATGAGCTGGTGGCTGGCGCAGAGTTCCAGGATTCAGCTCGGTGTTGAGTCGCCCGGAACGGGAAAGCGGCAAGGAAAATGAGTCGACACCTGCAAATATCTTTGCATCCGCTTCATGTAGTGTACCGTCTCTAGGGCTTGGTTGAGCGGGACCCTCTGGGAGCTCAGTCGGAACCAGGGCTTCCTCCAGACCTAGGATTTCCATAGCCAGGATACTCTCCTCCTCAAGTCTCTTCGATCCCTTGAATATGCTGTCGGAAGAGCCCAATGCATCCATGGCGTTTCAAGGGCCTGGTTGGCGGAACCAAGTGGTGAACTCCGACCTTAGAGCCTTGACTTGTTTGCTATGGATCACGGTCGCCTCAAGGCCTTATTCAACACTGACGAACAAGATGATGAAGTAGCTCAGGCATTTCAGGCGCGAATGGACGTTTCGAATTCATCCATTTGACCGCTCACACCCTCTTCCTTCAGAGAAAGCCAGTAGACGAATCAAAGGTGGTTGCCTTTACGCAAGCGACTGCAAGGAAAAGCAAAAAAGAAAAGGAAGAAGAAGCTGCAGAAGCTAAAAGGCGCCAGCATGAGCTCGAAACGACTCAGGTGTTTGAGGAATATGTCGCTGACTTTGCGGCGGCTCCTCGAGCAAAAGGTGCCATGACCTTTGTGCGAGCCGGCGAAAAGACCCAAGTCCAAACAGCAAAAGTTTTCGAGGATGATTCAGGGACCGTCCGTCATTCATTTATTCTATATTAGCACCTGGCTTACTTATTCCTAACAGAAACCCCGGTCTCCACCACCCGCACTGAAACCTAAAGGAAAGCGTGCTATGGACATGTTCTTGGAAGAAATCAAAAAGTATGTTAGTGAATACCGTCAAGGTATCGATACCCATCAAATTGTAGGGATCAGGCAGCTCGTGAACAGCGTTTTGGCAGGCATTCTTATGGTACGCTCAGATATAAGTATAAATCCATGCGCTAATCATAAATAGCCCAAGGTGTTTCTGTTACATCACTAGCTGCACATGACGCCCAAGGGGGAAGTAGAGATCGAGGGGACCCTGAGGTAAACTATTCTTATAGCTATTCACTCGCAGCTCATTTGGACTTAGACAACGAACCTTTTTGTTGCTCATCTCCCTGAAAATGTTACCGAAGATAAGTTTGGAGAGTATTTCGGGCAATTTGGTCCCATCACATCGGTAGGTTATACCAATGTATCCTGTCACTTTATAATAATGTTCCAGATTAAAATAATGTGGCCAAGAAATGACCCTCGAGAGAACAACACCGATCGGCGGAGTAAGAGTGGAGGACTTAGTGGATTTGTCTCTTTCAAAAGGCGCAGAGATGCAGAAATCGCCCTCAAGGAGCTGGATGGCATAGCTTGGGCGGGCTCTACACTTCGAGTAGGATGGAGTAAGGCCGTTCCAACTAGTGGGAGGGTCCTTTATGGTTCGTTCAAGCCGAGCCTGCGACGTGTTGTTCCGCATTGACCATTTGACAGGCGATCGAGATTCCCGGTCTCGCTCTCCTTCACCTCGGCGCCATCATCATCGCCACCGCTCCAGGTCTTCGTCCCCTGATTATGAGAGACACAGGCATCGTGATCGATCAAGAAGCAGACATAGACATCGTAGTCGCCACTCTCGGTCTCGTTCAGCCTCAAGATCACGGAGTCGAGAGCGCTACAACAGGGGAGAGAAGAAGAGCTCGCATAGTACACACAAAGTTTCCAAAGATGAAGAGCAATATCTTTGCCGTACATTCAACATCAAAACCAACGTGGTCAAGGAG